ATAACTATAATAATAATAATAAAAGTTGGAAGAGACCTTGGAGGTCATCTAGTCCAACCCCCTGCTCAGGCAGGAATCCCCCTACCATTTCGGACAAATGGCCATCCAATCTCTTCTTAAAAACTTCCAGCATCGAAGCATTCAGCGCTTCTGGAGGCGGGTTGTTCCACTGGTTAATTGTTCTCACTGTCGGGAAGTTTCTCCTTAGTTCTAGTTTGCTTCTCTCCTTGGTGAGTTTCCACCCGTTGCTTCTTGTCCTGCCTTCAGGCGCTTTGGAGAATAGCTTGACTCTCTCTTCTTTGGGGCAGCCCCTGAGATATTGGAATACTCCTATCCTGTCCCCCCTTGTCCTTCTCTTCATTAAACTAGACATCCCCAATTGCAGCAACCGTTTCTTATATATTTTAGCATCCAGTCTCCAATCATCTTTGTTGCTCTTCTCTGCACTGTTTCTAGAGTCTCTTTTTTACACCTTTTTTACATCGTGGTGACCAAAACTGGATGCACTTATTCCAAATGTAGCCTTACCAAGGCCTTGTAAAGCGGTATTTATTCATTCCCTTAGCAACCGTAAAACGGGTCTGGTCACACCTTCTGCCTTTGTGGCGACTTACAACCGAAGCTCCGGTCGTAAGTCAAGGACCCATCTATAGGAAAAAAAAAATACTGGACGACATGCCGTGGAGACAAGGGATCCTATTTCTCTGCCTCTTCTATGTCATATTCCCCGCAGGTGGGGAATTAGCACCGTATCGGCGCTGGTAGTAATTTATTCTGTCTTCCAGCTTAACGTGGGAGATCTGGAGGAATGTGATCAGCCACTTCAGAGTCTCCAGCTAAGTCCCTCGCTTTAAATCCTTTAGGCAAATTAAATACAGCGTGATCTCAAATCTTGGCAGCCGGGAGATGGATGGACATCAACTCCCAGAATTCCCCAGCCAGCTTTCAAAAGCCGCTCGGCAGCTGTCTTGCTTAGCAGTGAAAAGGTTGGGCTGGATTGCGGTCGTAAGCCGAGGACTTCTGTACATGTCTGTGGAGGTTCTCCGTCACCCAGATCCTGGTAGTCCCAAAGGTGCTTTTTTTTCAAGAGGTGAACTGGACTTCCGCTGTTTTTCTCTTTGAAGACGTTTCGCTTCTCATCCCGGAAGCTTCTTTAGCTTCTGACTGAACAATGCAGAGGAGGATGGAAAGATTTATGTTCCTTGCTGTCCTTGTATAAATGTAAATCCTTCCCTTCTCCACCGTTCATCCAGAACTGAAGAAGCTTCTTGGATGAGAAGTGAAACGTCTTCAGGCCACCTGCCTCCAGAAGCGGTGGATGCTCCAACACTGGAAGTTTCTAAGAAGAGACTGGACAACCATTTGTCTGAAATAGTATAGGGTTTCCTGCCTGAGCAGGGGGTTGGACTAGATGACCTCCAAGGTCCCTTCCAAGTCTGTTATTCTGTTTTTCTTCCTTCCTTCCTCCATCCCTCCCTCCTCCAACACTGGAAGTTTTTGAGACTAGACAGCCGTTTGTCCGAAATGGTCTAGGGTTTGCTGCCTGAGCAGGGTGTTAGACTAGATGACCTCTAAGGTCCCTTCCGAGTCTGTTATTTTGTTATTCTGTTTTTTTTCCTTTCCTTCCTTCCTCCCTCCCCCTTCCTTCCTTCCTCCTTCCTCCCTCCCTCCCTCCCCCCCTTCTCCAACACTGGAAGTTTTCAAGAAGAGACTGGACAGCCCTTTGTCTGAAATGGTACTATAGGGTTTCCTGCCTGAGCCGGGGGGGGGGGGGGGCTTCGAGTAGATGACCTCCAAGGTCCCTTCCGTCTGTTATCTTTTCTGACTGCAAGTAAATACAGTCAGCTATCCTGTAAGGGTGATGGCTGAGCAGGATGTTGAAGGTGAAATAGGGAGAGTGTCCCTGTTTAGAATTTAGAACATAGGATCCTTGGGCTGGACGGGACCTGGGAGGTCCTCTAGTCCAACCCCCTGCACAACTTCTGGCGGCGAAACGTTCCACTGATTCATTAATAGAATAACAGCATTGGAAGGGACCTCAGACTAGATGACTTCCAAGGTCCCTTCCAACTTTATTATTATTATTATTAGTAGTAGTAGTATTAGTATTATTAGTATTATTATGGATCATCGCACAGTCAGCCAGATGTTCAGACTGGATTTGGCATTTTGTCTACCTATCGAGTCCTTACCCAGGACCTGGGATAGGCAGATGTGGATGTTTGATGGTATTACAGGTATCGTCACAGGATGGAAGCAGTTCCTAGTAAGGCCGCCTTTTGCAACTGACTAATAGCAAATTTGTCAATGCCAGTGGTGTTCAAGTGGTGCTCCAGTTGTTTTGGGATTGCACCCAAGGAGCCTATTACTATTGGTACTACCCTTGCTTGCTTTTGCCACAGTCTTTCTATTTCTATTTGTAGGTCTTTGTGTTTTGTGATCTTCTCCAGTTCTTTCTTGTCTATTCTGCTGTCTCCAGGCACTGCCACGTCCACTCTCCAGACTTTTTTGTCTTTCTTATCGACAATTGTTAAGTCCGGGGTGTTGTTGTTGTAGTGGTAGTGGTAGTAGCAGTAGCAGTAGCAGTAGTAGTAGTAGTAGTAGTAGTAGTAATAATAAATAAATAAATAAATAAATAAATAAATAAATAAATGTTGGAAGGGACCTTGGAGGTCTTCTAGTCCAACCCCCTACTCAGGCAGGAAACCCTATCCCATTTCAGACAAGTGGCTGTCCAGTCTCTTCTTAGCAACTTCCAGTGTTGGAGAAGGGAGGGAGGGGAGGAGGAAGGAAGGAAGGAAGGAAGGAAGGAAGGAAGGAAGGAAGGAAGGAAGGAAGGAAAAAAAAAGAATAACAGAGTTGGAAGGGACCTTTGGAGGTCATCTAGTCTAACCCCCTGCTCAGGCAGGAAACCCTATCCCATTTCGGACAAATGGCGGTCCAGTCTCTTCTTAAAAACTTCCAGTGTTTGGAGAAGGGAGGGAGGAAGGATAACAGACGGAAGGGACCTTGGAGGTCATCTAGTCCAACCCCGCCTGCTCAGGCAGGAAACCCTATGATACCATTTCGGACAAGGGGCTGTCCAGTCTCTTCTTCAAAACCTCCAGTGTTGGAGCGTTCAAACGTTTTCTGAATTGTGGACCCCTTGGGCCGGGTGATGCCCCCCATTAATCCTTCCCATTAAGCCTTCCTGGTCTTCCCCCCCCCCCTGCCCTGCTTTGCCGGGGCGGAGGCCAGAGCAATCAAGAGCAATCGCTCCAGGGGCCTCCGGAGCCTCTAATTACGGCGGAGGAGGTCGCTGTCCTGTGATATTAACGAGAGTCGAGAGTCGGTGGCGTGTGGCTGCCTTCCTCCTCGGCGCTCTCGGAGGGAGAGCGGGAGGTTACAACACTGTCGGAGGATTAATGGTCTCTCCTGTGTCTTAACCCGGCGAAGTCGTTCTCCCTGGCAGTTAGGTGGAGTTGCTTCTGATTTACAACAATTGCCAATGAGAGGGGAGTTGGCCCCGCTGACACCTATTAAGGAGTTATGTGTTCTTGCCGCACCTGCGGGCATAAAGGGAGCAGCACCGCAGCTTGTGCCGATTCTCACACTTCCGCCAGCCTTGGGAAATGTGAAGCCTGACCCCCCCCCTCCCCTTTATAGGGATCCCTTGTGTTGCTAAGTACTCTTCTGGAAGGGGTTTTGAGCACACTGCTGGCTCTAAGAAGCCTAGGGGACGGTCGGAGAAAGAGCCCGGTGGTCTCCTTCAAGCCCTGCCGTTGAGAGTAAAAAGAATCGTAAAAAGCGAGAACTGGGCTGAATTGGGCCAACGAGGCAGGAGTCAAATCGAAGGCGGTCCTTGAAGCTCAGAGTTGAGCTGAGGGGGGGTCTGAGCTTGCCGTTTCCTTGCAGACGTTTCGTGACCCAACTAGGGAACATCATCAGGGCTAGAAGGGAGTTTGGGAGGAGGAGGGGGAGGGGGAGGAGGGAAGGAGGAGGAGAACTGAGGCGTCCTTGGTGCTCTCTGAGCTTGGCTGTTTTCTTGCAGACATTTCATGACCCAACTAGGTAACATCATCAATGCTAGAAGGAGGAAGGATTTGCAGAAAGGAGGAGGAGGACAACTGTGGCGTCCTGGGTGCTCTCTAAACTTGGTGGTTTCCTTGCAGACGTTTCATGACCCAACTAGGGAACATAATCAGTGCTAAAAGGGAGGAGGAGGAAGAGAATTGAGATGTCCTTGGTCCTCTCTGAGCTGGGTGGCTTCCTTGCAGACGTCTCATGACCCAACTAGGGAACATTGTCCGTGCTAGAAGGGAGTTTGGGAGGAGGAGGGGGAGGAGGAGGAGGAAGAGGAGGGGAGGAGGAGGAAGGCTGTGGGGTCCTTGGTGCTGTCTGAGCTTGGGGGTTTCCTTGCAGACATCTCATGACCCAACTAGGGAACATCATCAGTGCTAGAAGAGAGGAGGAGGAAGAGGAGGAGGGGGAGGAGGAGGAGGAGGAAGAAGAGAAGGAGGAGGGGAAGAAGGAGGAAGAGAATTGAGGGGTCCTTGATGATCTCTGAGCTTGGGGGTTTCCTTGCAGACGTCTCATGACCCAACTAGGGAACATTGTCAGTGCTAGAAGGGAGGAGGAGGAGGAGGAGGGGGAGGAGAGGGAGGAGGAGGAAGAGAATTGAGGTGTCCTTGGTCCTCTCTGAGCTGGGTGGCTTCCTTGCAGACGTCTCATGACCCAACTAGGGAACGCCATCAGTGCTAGAAGGGGGTCAACAAGCCCCCAGAGTGCAATCCAGCTCTTCTCCCCCTGCCCCTTCCCTCACTATGGTGGGACGTGCCGGCCGAGAGTGTAGCGGGGGGGTTGATGGCAGGCCGAGCGAGTCCCCTCCTCGTCCCTCGTCGGACGTAGCCCTCAAGCGGCATCAATGCAGGCCGGTGAACCCTTTCTCCTCCTGTCTTTTATTATTATTATTATTATTATTATTACACCCGGGGCTCCTTTTCCACGCGTCCTCCTTCCAGACGACGAAGAGGAGGACCTGTGCCACCTGGAGAGCCCCCTGGTTGTCAAGAAGAAGAAACGGGGGCCGAAGAAGCAGAAGGAGAACAAGCCAGGGAAACCTAGGAAGCGCAAGAAATTAGTAAGTCGCACCAGCCGGGCCTTTTCTCTTCCCCGCCGTGGGATGGAGGCCTGTTCGAGGTCATCATGGGGGGGTTTGCTTGCTTCTGTGGGGAATCCGTTGGGGTGACGGTGTGGGAACCCTAGAACAGTGGTTCTCAACCTTTTTAATGCCGCGACCCCCCAACCGGTTGTAAGTCGAGGACTACTCAACCGGTCGTAAGTCGAGGACTACTCAACCGGTCGTAAGTCGAGGACTACTCAACCGGTCGTAAGTCAAGGACTACTCAACTGGTGCAGCCCCGTTTGCAGAATGGGACTTTTGGCGGGCTCAGCAGGGCACGAGACAGCCTGGACAATTCCTATTGCTTTGAAAGCCAATAGAATTAGACTCTATTCAGAGAGTCTATTCTATTGCTTTCGAAAGCCAAGAGAATAAAAGGGAGTCGCAAGCTAAGGAAAAGGGAAAAAATGGCGGACTGCGTTGTTTGGCGACCCCCGTGAAATGGTCGTTCGACTCCAAATGGGGTCCCGACCCACAGGTGGAGAACCACTGGACTAGAACAAGCTCCCAAACAGAATCTCGGGAATTCCTTTCCCCGGATTGTTCCTGAGCGTAGGTGAGAGGAAAAGAACCAGTTTAGAAAAAAATAAAAATAAACATGGAAGGCGGCTCGGGCACCACCGCCAGGATTTCTGGCTTCATTTTCACCGTGAAACTTCCCTCCTGTGATCGGAAGGACCGTCTTCCCCATGACTCCGTGTGTGACCCACCGGAATGGGGGGCAGGGGGGTGTTAGGGGATCCCCTCTCTTAAGGGGGGGGTTCATCTGGCGGGACCAAGAAAGGGCCTTCTCCGTGTGGCTCCCTCCCTGCGGAGAGAAGATTCGCCCCCTTCGGTGGGTTCGAAAGGGGGTGGCCTGGGGCAAGGCCAGATTTTGCACCTTGCCTCTTTCTGGGGGCTGCATCGGCTTGGCTAGGTCAGCGAGGAGGTTTAGAGTCCGACCGAGAGGAGTAAAGGGCGAAGTCGGAGAGCGGCGGCAGCGACTATGGTGGGGTGGGGAAGAAAAGAAACGGCGCAAAACGGAGAAGAAAGAGAAGAAGACCAAACGGCGGAAAAAAAAAAGGCGGAGGAAGACGGGATGCAAAAGCCAAAGGTAAGAAAAGTCTTGGGGGGGGGGCTTGGGGACCCAGCCCCCTCCTCCCCCTCCCTACCCCCTCCCCAATCCTCTTCCCCCTCCTTCCCCCTCCTCCCCCTCCTCCCTCCCCCTCCCCTTCTCCCCCTCCCTATTCCCCCTCCCCTTCTTCCCCCTCCTCCTCCTACTCTTCCCCCTCCTCCTCCCCCTCCTCTCCTCCCCTCCCCCTCCTTCCCCTTCCCCTCCTCTTCCCCCCCCTCCTCCCCCCCTCTCCCTCCTCCCCTCCTCTCCTCCCCCTCCCCTTCTTCCCCTTCCCTCCCCTCCTCCTCCCTCCTCCCCCTCCTCCTCCTCCCCCTCCTCTCCTCCTCCCCTCCCCCTCCCCCCTCCTTCTCCCCCCCTCCTCCTTCCCCCCTCCTCTCCTCCTCCCCTCTTCTCCCTCCTCCTTCTCCCCCTCTTCGCCCTCCTCCTCCCCCCCTTCCCTCCTCTTTTCCCTCCCCCTCCTCCTCCTTCTCCCCCCCTCCTCTCCCTCCTCCCCCTCCTCCTCCTCCTCCCCCTTCCCCTCCTCTTTCCCCTCCCCCTCCTCCCCCTCCTCTTCCTCCCTCCTCTTCCTTCCCCTCCTCCCCCTCTCCCTCCTCTTCCCCCTCCTCCTCCTCCCCCTTCTCTTCCCCCTCCTCCTCCCCCTCCTCTCCTCCCCCTCCCCTTCTTCCCCCTTCCCCCTCCTCCTCCTTTTTAAGAAGAGACTGGACAGCTATTTCTCTGAAATGGTATAGTTTCCTGCCTGAGCAGGGGGTTAGACTAGATGACCTCCAAGGTCCCTTCCAACTCTGTTATTCTTCCTCCTCTTCCTCCACCTCGTCTTTAAGAAGAGACTGGGCTGTCCTTTGTCTGAAATGGTATAGCGGTTTCCTGACTGAGCAGGGGGTTGGGCTAGATGACCTCCAAGGTCCCTTCCAACTCTGTTGTTATTCCTCCTCCTCCTCCTCCTCCAGAAGACATTGGTATAGGGGTTTCCTGACTGAGCAGGGGGTTGGGCTAGAAGACCTCCGAGGTCCCTCCCCACCCTGTTATCCTGCATTTTATCTATTTAAGTCTGATCCCTGTTGCCTTTCCGAACATCGATGCGCCGTGTTCGAAATTTCCACTCTTCCCCCTTCCTCTCCCCCTCCCCCCTCCTCTCCGTGTACTGCAATAGGCACCGAGGCCTATTTTGCCCTCGGGGTGGGAGACCCCCTGACCCTGTCTGCCCTCTTCCTTCCAAGGTGGAGCAGAAGTCCTCGGCTCAGCTGCTCATGACTTGGGGCCTGGAAGACGTGGACCACGTTTTCACCGAGGAAGACTACCACACCTTGACCAACTACAAAGCCTTCAGCCAGTTCATGAGGTGGGTGCTTCGGTATCGGACGGGTGGGCAGGCGGGCGAGGGAAACGTGAAAGGTTGATTTTTAAGGTTGACTTTTTTCTCCCCCCCCCCCCAAATAAAAACATTCTAGGTCAGGGATAGGCCACCTTGGCTCTTTGATGACTCGTGGACTTCAACTCCCAGAATTCCTCAGCCAGCATGGAACTATGGCCCCCTTGATGACTGGTGTGCTTCAACTCCCAGAATTCCTCAGCCAGCCTGGCTCAGCTTGGAAACCCCTCCCTTTCCCCTCAGCATGGCTGGCTCAGGAATTCTGGGAGTTGAAGTCCACGAGTCATCAAAGAGCCAAGGTGGCCTACCCCTGGCCTAGACCAGAGGTGGGGAACGATGGCCCCTTTTTATGACTTGTGGACTTCAACTCCCAGAATTCCTCAACCAGCATGGGGGAACTATGGCTCCCTTCATGACTTGTGGACTTCAACTCCCAGAATTCCTAAGCCAGCATGGCTTAACTTGGAAACCTCTCCCTTTCCCCTCAGCATGGCTGGCTCAGGAATTCTGTGAGTTGAAGTCCACCAGTCATAAAGGAGCCCAGGTTGCCTACCCCTGGTCTAGTCCAAATGAGTTGAGACTTCAGTAGACGAGGCATTAAGAAGGACTTGTGGACAGGAAGAGCTGTCAATCATTGGAATTGATGGACACAGAGGTCAGGGGTAGGCAACCTCAGAATTCCTGAGCCAGCAGGCTGTGTATACCCATCGATGTGATTACTCTCTTATAATCCCTTCCTCTCCAATCTTTCTGCTATAGGAGGTAGGAGGGGAGAAATAAAAAGTCATGGCTGGCTCAGGAATTCTGGGAGCTGAAGTCCACAAGTCATGAAGGGGCCATAATTCCCCCATGTTGGCTCAGGAATTCTGGGAGTTGAAGTTCATGAGTCCTAAAAGACCCAGGTTGCCTACCCCTGGCCTAGACCAAATGAGTTGAGACTTCAGTAGACGAGGCATTAAGAAGGACTTGTGGACAGGAAGAGCTGTCAATCATTGGAACTGATGGACAGAGAAGTCAGGGGTAGGCAACCTCAGAATTCCTGAGTCAGCAGGCTACATATACCCATCAACATGCTTACTCTCTTACAATCCCTTCCTCTGCAATCTTTCTGCTATAGGAGGTAGGAGGAGGGGGAAAAAAAGGCATGGTTGGCTCAGGAATTCTGGGAGTTGAAGTCCACGAGTCATAAAAGAGCCAAGGCTGCCTACCCCTGTTCTAAGTCATGCATGAAAATAGCGCTAGCCCTCCATTTACAGTCATTTGTTTAATGACTGTTCGAAGTCACAAAGCCGCTCTGAAGTTTCAAAGCCACGGAAAAAAAGAGACCTTACGGCCGGTTTTCACACTTAACGACCGTGGCAGGCTCTCCCGTGGCCATGTCGATCAAAATTCAAGCGCTTGGTGACTGGCATGTATTTACAACAGGCGGAGTGTCCCGTGCGTGTGTGTGTGTTTGTGTGTGGTGTGATCAACCTCTGTAACCTTCCCAGCCGGCTTCACGACAAGGAGAGTCGGGGGGGGGAGCCAGATTTACTTAACAACCGCGTGATTCGCTTAACGGCTGTGGCAAAATAAGGTCGTGAAATGGGGGCACTTAAGCACTGTCGCTGAGCAGAGAGAAATGGGGGGCGCAGAAGGCACCTTCTGAAGGAACGGCGCTTAATTGTCGAGGTTTATTTGTTTATTTGGAATATTTATTGGTTGCCTCTTCAAAAAGTGGTTTTATAAGGATAATCAGGTAAAAACGTACATATCCAGCCATGTTCACGGACGCCTCTTACAACATCAGGTGCCTCCAAATGAGGTTCCCCGTTAGATGAGACACAACCCATGTCTGTAGGGAGACCCGTCTGTCTGTCTGTCTATATCTATCTATCTGTCTGTTTGTCTGTCTGTCTCCATCCATTACAGCCATCCATCCATCCTGTCTGTCCATCCATTCTTTCTACCTACCTACCTATATCTATCCATCCATCCATCTATTCTACCTACCTACCTATCCATCCATCCTGTCTGTCCATCCATTCTTTCTACCTACCTACCTACTTACCTACATCTTATCTATCCATCCATCCATTCTTTCTACCTACCCACCTACCTATATCTATCCATCCATCCATTCATTCTACCTACCTACCTATCCATCCATCCATCCTGTCTGTCCATCCATTCTTTCTACCTACCTACCTACTTACCTACCTCTATCTATCTATCTATCTATCTATCTATCTATCTATCTATCTATCTATCTATCTATCCTTTCTACCTACCTACTTACCTATATCCATCCATCCATCCATCCATTCTTTCTACCTACCTACCTATCCATCCATCCATCCTGTCTGTCCATCCATTCTTTCTACCTACCTACCTACTTACCTACCTCTATCTATCTATCTATCTATCTATCTATCTATCTATCTATCTATCTATCTATCTATCTATCTATCCATTCTTTCTACCTACCTACTTACCTATATCCATCCATCCATCCATCCATCCATTTCTACCTACCTACCAACCTACCTACCTACTTCTATTTATCTATCTATCTATCTATCTATCTATCTATCTATCTATCTATCTATCTATCTATCTATCCATCCATCCATTCTTTCTACCTACCTACCTACTTACCCACCCACCCACCCACCCATCCTGTCTATCTATCCGTCCATTCTCTCTCTCTCTCTCTCTCTCTCTCTCTCTCTCTCTCTCTCTCTCTCTCTCTCCCCCCCCGTATCCGTCTATCCATCTAGCATCTAGCTATCGTTTATCATTCTCTCTCTCTTCTCTCATTCTTACTGTCATTTGCTTCCCCTGAGTCTTCATTTGATGAGCCTTTGAGACGGGCAGCCAGATAAACGAACACAAATCGATAGATTTGCGGAGGCCCCTGAATGCGTCTCCCGGCCCGCAATGCACAATTCTCTGTGAAAAGGGTAGTGCTCAACGCAACCCCAGGTTCTCTTTCTCACACAAACAACACACACACACACACACACACACACACACACACACACACACACATCCCTTTCTAATAGGATCCTACTCTGGTCACCTTAAGAACCAAACAAGTGTTTTGAGAGGAGCCCCCCCCCCCCCCCCGCCCTGCGCTGATAGTCTTCTCTCCGGAGGCGTCTGCCAGCAAGTTTGTCTGGATTGTGATTGTGGCTTGTGCAAAGGGACCTGCTTCTCCTGCCTATCTCTGCCCCTCTGAGGGGCTGGAAGGGGGGGGGGAGGCAAGACTCCTGCCTAGAGCTGGATGGGTTCTTCTGTCTGTCTGTCTGTCTCTCTCCCTCTCCCTCCCTTTCTCTCTTTCTCTCTCTCTTTCTTTCTCTCTCCCTCCGTTTCTCTCTCTCCCCTTCTCTCTCTTTCTCTTTTTCTCTTTCTCTCTCCCTTTCTCTCTCTCTCCCTCCCTCTCCCTCCCTTTCTCTCTCCCTCCCTCCTTTTCTCTCTCTCTTCCCTTTTCTCTCTTTGTCTTTTTCTCTTTCTCCCTTTCTCTCTCTCTCCCCCTTTCTTTCTCTTTTTTCCCTCCCTCTCTCTCTTCCTTTCTCTCTCTCTCCCCCTTTCTCTCTTTCTCTCTCTCTTCTCTCTCTTTCTCTCTCCCTTTCTCCCTCCCTTTCTTTCTCTCTCTCCCTCTCTCTTTCTCTTTCTCTCTTTCTCTCTCTTTTTCTCTCCCTTTCTGTCTCCCTCCCTCCCTCTTTCTCTCTCTCCCTCCCTTTCTCTCTCTTCTCTCTCTCTTTTTTCTCTTTCTCCCGTTTTCTCTCTCTCCCTTTCTTTTTTTCTCTCACTTCCTCTTTCCTGCCCTCTCTCTCTCTTCCTTTCTCTCTCTCTCTCCCCCTTTCTCTCTTTCTTTCTCTTTTTCTCTCTCTCCCTTTCTCCCTCCCTCTTTCTCTTTCTCTCCCTCCCTCTCTCTCCCCCTTTCTTTCTCTCTGTCTTTTTCTCTCCCTTTCTGTCTCCCTCCCTCCCTCTTTCTCTCTCTCCCTCTCCCTTTTCCTCTCTCTCTTTCTCTCCCCCTTTCTCTCCCTTTCTCTCTCTTCTCTCTCTTTTTCTCTCTTTCTCCCATTTTCTCTCTCCCTTTCTCTTTTTCTCTCACTTCCTCTTTCCCTCCGTCCCTCTCTTCCTCTCTCTCTCTCTCTCTCTTTCTCTCTCTCTCTCTCTGCCTTCCTAAGCTCGGCGTCCTTGTTCAGCCAAAGCCCTGGAACGTCCCAGGGCGCCCGGCGTCCTCTGCCTTCCCCGACCTCCTCTGGCTGCCAGCCTGCAGTTCAAGCCAGGCCAGGCTGAGCTCCCGTCAGCCGTGGGGGAAGCCGTCAGTGGCCTTGGCAGCCCCCCCTGCTGTCTCCCGCCTTCGGCTTGGCGGGCAGAGCCCTGCTCGGCTGCCAACCCCGGCTCTGTGACCAAGGGGCAGAAATCTGGCAGCGGCCGTCGCCAGGCCACCTGGGCCTCGCCAGCTTTAATAAAGGCGGTGATTTATTCCAGGTGCTCAGGGGGGGGGGACAGGCCCAGTGGCGGGGCCTGCCTCTAATTAGCTCTGAATTGTTGGGCACTTGCCTGGGCGGGAGGCAGATCTGTCCACCCCGCCCGCCCGCCTTCCCCGAGGCTGTCACGGCAGGCCGTTGCTGGAATTGGCCATAAAGCTCCCCGATCAAGAGGGGATTCCTTTTTGCAGCCCTTTGATTTCCCCTTCCTGGGGCTCTGGCCGGGCTTTTGGGGAGCAGCTGTGCTCCTAACACACCGCAGCAAGATGGCTGCGAGAGTTGCGCGGTAGCTCCTGTGCTCTGGAAGCCAGGTTGTGCAACGTGTGAGAGAGAAGCAGGGCTTTGTTGTCCCTCTCGGCAACCCTGGCATCGGAGGGGACAAAGGGTCCAGCCTTTGGGATCCCAGAGTCCCTTGGGGTGCTTTGGGGTGTGGATTAAAGACACCCCTGAACTGGGGGGGTGCAGCCTGGAGCTGCAAAGGCTTGTGTG